TTATAGGTTATTATTATTATTATTATTATTATTATTATTATTATTATTATTATTATTATTATTATTATTATTATTATTATTATTATTATTATTATTATTATTATTATTATTATTATTATTATTATTATTATTACATGTATTGTGAGAATGTTGATGAGAAAAATGTAATGAACTGAATTAGGGAAATTCGGAGTTTTCAACGATGCTATCTGCACCATAAATAATGAACCGATCTTTCTCGATTTTTCAAAAATGAAAAACCGTAGACACGGTTCGACACACTACACGGTTCAAATTAAAACAACTCGATTTTCGCTTTTTCGCTCGATTTATTTTGCTTACCTGTATTAATTAGCCAACGACAACTTTCACCGTCTGCACCAACCTGTAATACTCTATAAAAGCCCTAGAGCATTTTACAACTTCACCCACAAAGGAGATCCATTTGCATAAAGAGTCAATTTTTGCTACATTTTACAAGTGTGAATTGCAATCGATTAGACTATCAATTCTTCAAGGTAAGTTCTTTTGCCCCACACAAATCTTATGTTTTTCTTTTTCATTCATTTAATTTCTTGTAATTGCATTTTGACATCGGCTAGTTTTTGTGTTTAATTCAATGATTTTTACTCCATATAAGTATAAAAATCACGGTAAATCAACATCGATAATAAACAACGATGGATCTATTACAATTAAATATTCCTTTTCAAAAAGCAAATCGGAGAACCTTGTAAAAAAAATTAACGTTACGACTCAGTAACCGATGAGTGATACGATTCCATTTATCATACATTTTCAACTTTTATTTCCATATATCGTTCGGGTATGAATGGTGAATTTGTTAGAATTAATGTTCCTTCCGAAAAGCAAATCGAAAAAAGTTTGCGTAATTCGATAATCGTTAAGATCGATGAACTTTAGGTGCGTATGTTTAAGGCTACATTAAAAATAAAATAAAAAATAGAGTATAGAGTCAAAGAAGTTGGTGTAACTGAATTCTATGAGTTTCTTTATTATATATATTTTGTGGTAAAGGTAATGATTTTTTTTAAGAGTAATAAAATCAATTATTATTATTTTTTGAAAGAAAATCCATTATTGACTTCACTTTAAAAGGTCAAGGTCAAGGTCAACAATTCCTGAACAACAATAAGTTTGCAATGTATATATTCTTTTATGGATTTTGTTAAATATTTAAATATATAGTTTCAATTTTGAATTTTGAATTTTCTTTTGGATTGTTTGGTATCTTTTGTAGAATAGAAGTCTTTTGAGTTAATTAACTTATAATTAGTGATTAATTTGGCTAAAATGTTATAATATATAAAAAATAAACTTATGCCAAAAAGGCAAAAACTAAATAATATTAAATTATTTGAATTATATTACTTTAATCCGGCTTTCCCCAAAAATAGTATTAGGGCTTCAGTATTTTATTTTTCCAGAGTAAATAAAAATCCTGACTTGGCCCAATCACAGTGTTCGTGGCCGAATCTTATGTTATTATAATTTTATTATTATTTTTTTAATTTTTATATATATATAATATGAGTGAAAAATTGAATATTCGAAAACGTAAGCATATTATGTTTGTATATATAGCGGGAATTTAAAGATGTAGAAGTTATTTTATCTGAAACGTGACTTTTGCTATACCTACAATATGTTGGGCTGTTTTCCCCCAAAACGCAGAACGATTCGTCTTCTTCCCTACACATTTTGCTTCAGCAGAAATCAATCCGCCGCGGTTCTCTTTCTCGCCGGCGCTCGCGGATTGTAAGGTATTCGGAAAATCTTCTCCCCTTTAGGTTTTGTGATTTCATCCCATGGTTTGGGTTTTTTTTTACCTCTGATTTCAGCAATATTTTCGTGTCGAATGCTGATAATATCTGCTGGAGCAATATCGACACAATCGATTTTTTTTGCGAAAAACATGCAGCGCGGGATGAATTTTAGGTTTAATTTTTCATATTTGAAACACCCTAAGTTGTATGTTTTGCTGATTGTATCTATGTTACTGTCTCATCTAGCTTAGTGGATTCATGGGTTTTCCGGTTTCAGTGATAAAATATGCAATCCAACTAGACTGTTAGCAGGCTTTTTCTCTCCTTGTGTTAGTTGTGTTTTATGAAATGGCTTTCCTTGCTCTTCTGTAGTCTTGCTTCTGAGAGTTTGTTATTTACCATTGGAAATTTTGTTGCTATTTTACCATCCAAGCCCTTCCTGTAGCTTTAAAAATATCCTATATGCCAGCCAAACATTTTATGAGGTATCACTTATCAGTGTAAAAGATTCGAGCGTTTCATCTGCTATGAATTAATTTCATATTCAACAGGCGATTTGTGACGAATAATTGAATGAATATTATGGTCAGTGAACCTTGTCGTGATAATACAGGCCACGTGACTCAGATTTGCTTAGTAACAATAGATGTGTTTAAATTTAGGGCTTTGTCTTAAATCCTTGGTCCCAAATTCAAGGGCCTTTACCCGGAGGCTGCGGCGGCGTAGGGAAAAATAACACTATTGACAGTCAACATAGTTGTGTGGATGACATTCAAGCGTGCGTGGTTCCTTAAGTATGAAAGAGTACTTTTACATAATATCCAACCTAAGATTTTGCGCTAAGAATGTTAAGAGATTACTTTGTGTAAATATAAATAATAGAGTGAAAAATAACAGATTGAGAGATAAAGAAATATGTAGCAAATGGTTGGACCTTTATGTTTAGTTACCCAGAAATAAAAGCTGGTAATTTTAGATTATAGATAAAAAAGTTCTTCGCGTAGGAGTTGGCACACACCACTATAACAGTAAGAAAGATGTTACAATAAAAACACTAACACTCATGTGACCTATGTTCAAAGTGTGCTTCTATTCCAGGGATTCATGCTTATTTTTAGTTCTGTAGTATCTGAAAACAATGATTATAATTATGTGGAAGTTCCATCATTAAGATGAAAACTTATATAGTTGGATCCAAAAGCACACAACAATTGTTATATGATGAGAAGAGGACCTTGCAAGAAAAGCTAGTAGTTTCTAGTTACACATCTAACATGATTAAGTTCATATTTGTTATCTTATGTAATTGCATGGTTCTAGACATTATAATGTGTTTTCTACATCATAAAGCAAAATATCGTGAAAGTTTGCAAATCTTTGAAACCAATTATTCATTTAATTTTTTTGGATGTCATTCTTTGTTGCAGGAATATTCATGGATAAAGTCAATAGCCAGGGAAATTACAATTCCGAAGTAAGCATGATATTCAAAAACTAACTCCTTCATTTTGGGCTTTGTCATTTTGGTTGATAACACCAGAGATAACTTTATTATTGATTTTCTTTACCCTTTTCATCTTTCTTCCCGAAGAGTAGAATATTAGAGTAGATAGATAAATCTATGGCTAATTAAACTGTTCTTTCTTCAATGGTCAGGTAATAGGATTTATTACTTGTTGTATTTGCACCCTGCATATCCTGACGATCACACATATGATATATGCATGGATATTGCCACTTCATACTAAGTATTAAGACATTTTGGTCTATATTTTCAGTATAGTTTCCGCAGGCTTGAGTGTGTTTCTACCTGTACGTCACATGCACATTTAAGTGTCATGCTTGTGGAAACTCTATTGAATGAAGATAGTCAATAAGGG